TAATTAATATCTTGACCTTGAGAGGGAGCTATTCAACATAAAGTGTTTATTATTTACAATTTCATCACTTTAGACTCGATTTCAACCGCGACAACGATCACTGAATATTGTAGGATCGCATATGCATCCAATATGTTCATTTGAACCAAATTCATGACCCCATACCAAAACTTTGTAATACGGTACCTTTATTAGAGTCCCCTTGTGTTGGTGGGTCTTACCCTACATTTATGCATGATACACCTCTCACAGAGGGCAGGGTGTAAACCAGGGGGGTGTTTCACAAAGCTTGTCATCAGTGACAACTGACGGTTTTTGTTGTAAGCTACTGAAATCCTTGCTTCTCATTGGTTATCAACAGATTTGTCACTGATTTTTGTCATTTGTTATTGAAAAAAGGCTTTGTGAAACGGGTCCCTTGTATTTAGTGTGCCCGCATACACAACTGGTAATCTTGTACATGTATGGATATAAAGATCTACGGTATTGGCTGCAAAGCCATTTGAAGATTACAAGTAGAAGAAAAGCATATCAATTTTCATTTTTACCAGAGCTCAGTCGATCTTTTCTTTAAAATGTTAACACACATACATGTACATGTACATGTACGTGTACAAATGCACATGCAAGGCTCTTTCTCTTCACAAGAGATCAGTGATTTCAAGCTGACAGAAAAATCTCCAAGCTTGGGGTTGTTTGGGTTAAATGATGATTTGTAACAAATGGCAAGCATTCATATCGCTGGGATTCAAAATCAAATCCCTGTTGTCAGGGAACATCCGGGAGAGAACAGGAGAAGATGAATTTATCCTCATCTCTCCAGAAATCATTGGTATCAGCAGCGCAGATGCACTTGCCATTTGAAGATGATACAGGAATGAAGATGTCTGCCCTCATTCAGACTACCAGAATTCATTGTATTGCTAATATACATGTATACAGCTACATGTTATGATAAAGTAATTACATGCTTTTCTTCCAGCCTGAACAGATATATAACAAAATATTGTACAACAAAACGTTTTTAACAAAGCGTTGTTTTAAATACAAAACGCACATTTGAGCGTCATTTCAAACAAACACTCAATAAAGAGTGAGGGTCCTGTTGTACGCGTAGTCTGAATGTTGTATCATATGAAAATCAAAGTGGGCAGGGCTTGTAGTGAGAATGCACTGATGAATGATCTACATTTGCCACTCTCCACCCAGGTGTTAAATGGGTACCCGGTAGGATGCAAAAGCCAATGTAGTATGCTTAATAGCAATTTGAGCCTACATGTATGTAGTACATGTGTAGCTCTTGCTAGATTGCTCCCCAGGAAGTGGAGAAAGTGCATACATTGTGTGCGGGCAAGCCAGAATCCGATGACGGGGTAATAATGTAAAACGCTTAGAAACTCAGACATTGCCGATGTATTAAAGATAAACTTTAGTACTGGTAATGCGATTACATTTTGAAAGGAAAGGTGTGGAAAGGATCAGAAACAGTTGATCATGTAGCATGTAAGTAATGGCAAGGTTCTGTAGTCATCTAAATCATCATAAATTTGGCAGAGTCTTGGTAAAGTAACAATCACTTACACAGAAAGATGTATATGGGACAACACGCGTGGTGTCGGGGCTGGTACTACCCTGATTTCCTTATCTTTCTATGCTCATTACTCAGCCAGTATACATTTTCTTCCAAAATTGTTTGGCACATGACATTTATTTGTAATCTTTAACATTCAGTGTAAGTTTCGTTCGATTCTGTGAGAATTCATTTTCTTTTTTTACCAGAACTCAAGTTTATCTTTAAGCGCTATATGAGCAGAAATATTATTATTATTATGATTGGCCAGCTTTCCTGTCAATTTTTTTAAATTGCTACATGTATATTGACCCTTCCATGACCTCTTCAATACTGGTTTCTTTACACCATTTCTTTTAATGATATTTCTTATCTAGTTTGTTCACCCCTTTTGCTATGCGATGGTGATTTGTATGACAGTTCTTACAAAAAATTGTCATAAATTTTCTCTAGTCTAAACAAGCTGTTTATTGGAGGAATCTTTGATGGGAAGCACTAGCTCGCTGTTCCTCATTACGTCAGCCTAAGGCAGCCTTGCCAGAAAGAAAAGAAATGATATTAATAACCCAGCCCACCTGTTTCTATGTGTACAATTAGCCACGTCTGCGCCATTACCGGTCTCAGTGTGGCTCTTGTGACTGTCTCCCGCTAAATCAGTCTTATGAACGTAATTGGGAAAAAAATGATTAGGGCAGGGGCGGATCCACAGGAATTTCTTCCGGGGGGGGGGGGGGGGGGGGGGGGGGGGGAGGGGGGGGGGGAGGGGGGGGGGGGGCACACGGGGGATAAGAGGACATGTGTATATTTTTTTGCTCCCCCCCCCCCAAAAAAAAAATAGCAACGACTCAGTCAGCCAGCCGCTGAATAAGCAGGGGGGGGGGGGGGGGGGGGGGGTAAGAGCACATTTTTTTTGCTCCCGAATATTTGAAAATCGAGCCGGTCGCAAATTCACTCAGTGAGGGGGGGGGGGGGGGGGGGGGGGGAGTGCGTACTTAGTTGGGTTTTTTTTTGCCAGGGGGGGGGGGGGGCACGTCCCTGTTTGTCAGTAGATTTTTGGCGAATTTGGGGCTAATTTCAACGTTTGGCCTGGGGGGGGGGGGCCTGGATCCGCCACTGTAGGGACAGTACTGGTAGTTTTCATTTGAAGTTGCATGTATGTGGCGTAACAGCTGATCAAATTGTGGACACGTTGTGGTTGCACGTACAGTGTACATATACATGTACATGTATGTCACAGGAAGTGATTAGATTTTTTGACTGTAACCCAAAAATTGGAATCATCGGTGAACAAGGTCACTGTATGTTAGTTAGTGTTGATTAGAGAGAGAGAGAGAGAGAGAGAGTTTTATTATGACCATTTCAATTAACTCTAGAAATTTGTCATGACTTATAATGATTTAGTTTTTGTCGTCTACAAGATTAGCCTTGCAACCATCAAGTTCACAAATGTTTTTCTGCTTAGCACCGATACCAGAGTCTTGTTTTGTTGTTGTCATTGGTTTTTCTAAACTGACTGTTAAGAAAGCATGAGTATGCTTGTACATATGCAACCTGGGAACTGACAGCTGTAAGTCCTTTCCGAGGGACTTTGTAATGACGATTAATGCCTTACCAAAGGCCGATAGCGCCTCGAATTGGTTTCAAACCAGGTCCTCCCGTTCAAGAGACCAGTGCTCTACCACTGAGCCATCACGCCAGCCCCCTTTTTTTTTTTTCCTTTTTTTTCTTTCTTTTTTTCCCCTTTTTTTTCTTTCTTTTTTTAAACCAAATTTTGGAGATCAAGATGCTTCTTTCCTTCTATAGCGTCATGTTGTGCAATTCATGCTGTATTTTAAACCATATGAAATGACATCGCATTTGTTCACATACACCCTTATGGCTGTATGGGGAACTGCAAGTCAATAATCATTATGGAATGTTTGGCTGAAGTGGAATATCAATTCTGTCAAAAAAAATGTGCTCTACCTTGTGCATGGTCAGGTACTGGAAGTAGATTCCACCAAGGATGTTACAACTTACAAACTTACTAAGTAAAGGTAGACTAGACGTTCATGATATGTTTGTTGTCTACATAATAAGCCGGAAATACATGAAGATGTAGGAATGCAAAGTATAATGCTCTGGTTTATAGTGTAAGAAAGATCTGGATTTGTACATTTACAGTGTATTCTTCCTGTTCTCTGAACTAAATTTGATATTTGCAGATGTCTTCATGCTCCCTGTTGAAAGTGTATAAGTGTTTCATGATATTAATAAGGAAATTGGTTAAAGAGAAGGTTGAGTTCTGGGAAGAGGTGAAAAATAATTTGTGAGCATTACTCATTCTTATTATGCAAGTGTGGAAGAACATCAGTTAAGACATGTTCCCTGAAAAGCATGGCTCTTCAAATGCCTTCATATTCTAAATATGCATGTAACATTGTAAAAATCGGGGGCCGGCTTTTTACGCCACGTGTTCGTGTAGTCCCATATACATCTTTCTGTGCAAGTGTTTGTAAATTTACCAAGACTTGGCCAAATTTCTTATCATTTTGATGATTCCAGAACCTTGCAATACACACAAATTCTTATATGCTAGATGATCAACCTTTTCTGATCGGTTCCACACCGTTTCTTTCACAATGCAATCGCATGACCAGAACTCAACTTCATCTTTAAAGAAAAGCCGGTTGGAATTCATTCACTTTTCCTGTCAAGTAAAGTGAGAGGCCAATTCATTCATATATTTATTTTGGAGGGATTTAAAATCATTATTGATGATTTGATGTTGATATTAGGTTAGTTTAGATTTGTGTATTAGTACAAATATTCATAAGCAAAATTTGAATGAAAGCTTAGACCCAGCACCAGGGTTGAATTTCAGTAGAATACTTTCCAATATATACAACATAGTTTTTGAAGCTTCTACCGACCTTAAATTTTGTTGCGCAAGCTTTCGTCCACTCCTGTAGACTTTCTCAAGCTAAGTGATCACACGTTTTCTTAGATGCATTGCCTGGTGTCCTGCGATCACTGGACCAAAGATAGATAGGTACTCAGAGTCCCTGTTTAGTGTCGGCTTAATGCTTAGTGGGCGAAAGCTTGCGCAACAAAATTCAAGGTTGGTAGAAGCTTCAAAAACTACATTGTATCATTATCCCCAACCAATGAAATTTTTCTGTATCGCTTTCCAATATGTTTGTGTTGTTGGTTTTGTTCTAATTTTAAATATTTAATTTCCTCTTTAGATAATTTTACCAGCTCTCTTGGAAGAAAACATCAGACGCTATAGGTTACTAGAGAGCAGCCCACCTGTGCGAGTCCATTTTGCCAGCCGCACTGACACAATCCCAACAAGCGAGGGCAGTAGGTGTAGACAGGAGGCAGCACACAGACGAGGAGGGGGAGACGGATAGGCGGAGGGGGACGTGATTCTTGGGAGTGACAGAACGGCAGCGGATTAGAGGAAGATGGGAAACAGAACAGCAAGCTGAGGCCCGAGATGCTGACCGATTTGAGGGAGAACACAGAATTCAACGAGCATGAGTTACAAGAATGGTACAAGGGCTTTCTTAAAGGTAAGGATCAAACGTGGTGACCTGAAGGTTAAAGCCCGTCTGTACTGGTTTGGCCAGGGGAGATTAGACCTCCCTGCAAGGTCATTGACAGGTGGTTATCTTACCAAATCAGCTCTCGATTAACATATGAAAAAGAGAATCATGGGGGACCAACATGCACCGATTAGGCGTTGTCGGCTATATAGAGGGAGCAAGTAGCCACAAGTAGTGCAGTGGGGCTTTAATCTCCCCAACTTTTTTGTCACAGGTGTATGCTTTATGACCCCGGAAAGAAAAAAGAAGAGTGATTTTGCACTACAAATGTGTTTGAATTTGTTTGTGGTGCCAAATCAGTGAAATCACCTTTATTTCTAATAAGCGCGTTAACTTAAAGCATATTCACCTTCGACAGTTTTTCCTTGACTTTGTCTTCCTGACACTTGCTCCATGCATTATTTGTGTCAAAAACACAGGGTTAGCAATTGAGGTGTGTACTGTTGGGATTACAATCATTACATGTATAAAGTTAGGTTTATTATGGGCTCCATACTAACGTTTTCGCTTAGGAGGTTCTGGACCGAAATTTTATGGTCTGTATGTTTGGATTTCGCATCAAATTTGGGACATGTGGAGCATTCAGTTTTGGGACGTCTAGTGTAGCCTGGGAACCTGTTAGTGTCAAGCTTTGGTTTAGGGTTAGATGTACATGTAGGTGTAGTGCTTGATCCAGGGTCGAAGTAAGGAATTCAGTTACAGTCAAACCTATTTTAGTGACCACCTGTCTACCAAGACCACACTTTTTCCTTTCCCTACAAAATGTTTCTCATTGAAACATGTACTAAAGGAACCTGTCTACAGAGACCCCTTTTTGTGTGTCCCTTGGACGGTCACTATAGACAGGTTTGACTGTAGCATCAGAAAATGGCATCAAAGACCCCGTTCTCACTCACTTCGTTGGAGCGCTCTGGAGCGCTCTAACTAAGACCCGTTCCTCAGGAGCGGTTCTTAGGTGAGTGAGAACGGTCAAAGTGGTCCAGGAAGTGGACTTCTGGACCGCTCCAGAAGACCACCTTCCGAGGTGGTCTTGAGGAGCGGGTCTTATTAAGAGCGGTTTGGAGCGCTCTAACGTGCAATGTGAACGGAAAGCGTACTTTGACCGGAAGTGAGCTAGTGACGTTCCGTGCGAAACATGTAGTACGGTACATACGGTTTGTATTCCGCGCGCTAAAAAATTGACCTGCTGACCTGAGCTGCCATAGCAACAAGACCACTTTGACTCATGGAGTGGTTTGAGCCATAAAAAACTGCTCGGAGTGTGAACGCTCGCAAACCGTTCCTCAAGACCCGTTTCTCTGGAGCGGTCTAACTAAGACCACTTTCAAAGTGAGTGAGAATGGGGTCAAAGTGTCAAGCTTTGGTTTAGGGTTAGATGTACATGTAGGTGTAGTGCTTGATCCAGGGTCGAAGTAAGGAATTCAGTTACAGTCAAACCTATTTTAGTGACCACCTGTCTACCAAGACCACATTTTTTCTTTCCCTACAAAATGTTTCTCATTGAAACATGTACTAAAGGAACCTGTCTACAGAGACCCCTTTTTGTGTTTCCCTTGGACGGTCACTATAGACAGGTTTGACTGTAGCATCAGAAAATGGCATCAAAGACCCCGTTCTCACTCACTTCGTTGGAGCGCTCTGGAGCGCTCTAACTAAGACCCGTTCCTCAGGAGCGGTTCTTAGGTGAGTGAGAACGGTCAAAGTGGTCCAGGAAGTGGACTTCTGGACCGCTCCAGAAGACCACCTTCCGAGGTGGTCTTGAGGAGCGGGTCTTATTAAGAGCGGTTTGGAGCGCTCTAACGTGCAATGTGAATGGAAAGCGTACTTTGACCGGAAGTGAGCTAGTGACGTTCCGTGCGAAACATGTAGTACGGTACATACGGTTTGTATTCCGCGCGCTAAAAAATTGACCTGCTGACCTGAGCTGCCATAGCAACAAGACCACTTTGACTCGTGGAGTGGTTTGAGCCATAAAAAACTGCTCGGAGTGTGAACGCTCGCAAACCGTTCCTCAAGACCCGTTTCTCTGGAGCGGTCTAACTAAGACCACTTTCAAAGTGAGTGAGAATGGGGTCAAAGTGTCAAGCTTTGGTTTAGGGTTAGATGTACATGTAGGTGTAGTGCTTGATCCAGGGTCGAAGTAAGGAATTCAGTTACAGTCAAACCTATTTTAGTGACCACCTGTCTACCAAGACCACATTTTTTCTTTCCCTACAAAATGTTTCTCATTGAAACATGTACTAAAGTAACCTGTCTACAGAGACCACTTTTTGTGTTTCCCTTGGACGGTCACTATAGACAGGTTTGACTGTAGCATCAGAAAATGGCATCAAAGAAACTGCCACAGGAGCACATGTAGAACAAAAATATATTATTCACCTTGCATGGTGCTCTATCAACAAGGAAAAGGAATCAGACTAGTTTAGTAGCTGTTTATGATGGCCTGACCTTTGCTCTGCCGACATTTGCTCTTGGTTATATGTTGACAAAATATATAGTTAGGGTTAGGGTTAGAGTTGCAGTTGGGTTTTAGATTCGGCTAGGGTTTAGGATAGTGTTACATGTAGATATTGCATTTAGTACAAGATTGAAGTCCATGTAGAAGCGATTCAGTTGTAGGAAATTTAGTGTGAATAGCGATTGTCGCCAAAGCCCGTGTCATAGAACCCACTTTCGTTCATTGCATAAAAACGATTCAAAATCTGTGGTTTGAATGAACAGAAAACAGAAAAAGGCACTTCTTCAAATAATGTAGACTCGACCTATCCAAAGTGGGTGGAATTTGACCACATATTTTCCCTCTCGCTGGCCCAGAATCTGCAGTATGTAGTTGAATTGGAGTGGAGGTTTTAACCGCCGTAATCATCATGAACTTTATTTAATTTTCTGTGAGTGCATACCTCTTTTCGTCTACCTGACCCTGTCCCTCTCTCTCCCACTCTTTCTCTCTCTCTCTCTCTCCCACTCTCTCTCTCTCTCCCACTCTCTCTCTCTCCCACTCTCTCTCTCTCTCTCCCACCTTCTTTCTCTCTATCACTCTCTCTCTCCCACTCTCTCTCTCCCACCTTCTTTCTCTGTATCACTCTCTCTCTCCCACTCTCTCTCTCCCACCTTCTTTCTCCCTCCCACTCTTTCTCTCTAACCTCTTTCTCCATTATTTTCTCCCATCCCTTATTTTTCCTTTCTCCCTTCATCGTGTGCCTCATTTCTCCATCTCTTTCTCCTCTCCATCTTTATGTCTTCTAAATACTCTATCTCATACCCTCTATCTCTTTATCTTTGTTCTCCTTCAGCCTATCTTGTCCTCCCCCGTCCTCCCCCATCTCTCTCTACCTTCATCCCCACTCCCTCCCCTCCCTATCTCTTTGTCTCTCTCTCTGTCTCTATCCCTGTCTCTGTCTCTCCTCTCCCCCCCCCCCCCTCCCAACCCTCTCTACTAATGCAGTATTGAGTGCATCCCATTAGAGACGCAATGAACTTGATATAGAGACCTAGACATCCCCCCCCCCCCTCCCTCCCCCTCCCTCCCCCTCCCAACCCTCTCTAATAATGCAGTATTGAGTGCATCCATTAGAGACCCAATGAACTTGATATAGGGACCAAGGTCACATGTGATTGATGGCTTAGCTGAAGGGGACACAGAATACAGCGAAGGGCTAAATTCAGTCAAAGACCTTTATATTATGCGTTCCCTTGCACACGAGAACATCACATACCGATGAGAGCTAAAAGGGTATTAAAGAGAAGGTTGAGTTCTGGGAAGGGGTAAAATATAATTTGTGACCGTTATCATTGGTATAATGCAAGGATGGAAGAACATCAGATTAAACATGTACCCTGAAAAGCATGGCTCTTCAAATGCCTTCATAGTCTAAATATGACATGAAACATCGTAAAAATCCGGGTAGGATTTTTTTGCTGTGTGTTTGTGTAGTCCCATATACATGTACATCATTCTGTGTATAGTGCTTGTAACTTTGCCAAGATTTGGCCAAATTTCTTATCATTTTGATGATTCCAGAACCTTGCAATACACACGAATACTTATTTACTAGATGATCAACCTTTTCTGATAGATTCCACCACCGTTTCTTTCACAATGCAATCACATGACCAGAACTCAACTACAGTCAAACATGCTTTAGTGACCACCTGTCTACAACAAGCACATTTTTTTGTTTCCCTTGTAAATGGTTCCTCATTGAAACATGTACATGTACTAAAGGAACCTGTCTAACAAAGGCCACTTTTTGTGTTTCCCTTGGGCAGTCGCTGTAGACAGGTTTGACTGTATTATGTCAGTCAAACCTGCTTTAGCGACCACCCATATAGAAAGACAATCTGTCTATAAAGACCACATTTTTTGTTGGTTTCCTTTGAGTATGGTTTCTCTTTGAAACTTGTACCAAGGAAACCTATACTCAAAGACCACCTGCCTATAAAGACCACTTCTCATGTTTCCCTTGAGTGGTCTTTATTATACAGGTTTCATACACTGTAGCTGTAGTTAACACAGAGTTAATGCCTTTTTGCCTCTCAATAAACAACATGAAGACATAAAATATTCTAGCGGCCATGGTGAAACCACAGTTTTCAAGCCATTTTCCTAGCCATTTTCCTGCTACAGTGCTAGAGGTTTCATTTCAGGGAAATTGTTAGGAAGTGACGTCATCGTCCATCTGTCCAAACTGTATTCATAATGCAGGAATGTCAATGTACATACACTGTACATGTGCAAATACAATGGAATCATTCCCAAAGCTCTTTGGAAGCGCATAGAGAGGTTATAATGTGATATGTACTGTATGCGCTATACATGGACAAGACCCTAATATTATTATCATTATAATCATTTAATATTAAACCATGTATTGTTAGTGGATTTTATATCTATTTTTACTTTTCAAGGCAAATCAGTTAACAGATAATCAAAGCCCAAAACATTTTCATCAGTTTTGATACCCATTAAAGGATTATTTTTAATGAAATGTCCATTACACTTATTTCATAATTCATATGTTATCTAGAGTACATACTGACATACATGAACATGTAGGCCCTATATCTTGTTTAAAGCTAAATTTAATCACATTGAATATGAATCATATTCATGTATACGTGCCCAAATTTGCCTCCCTCATATTTTTTTGTTATGTAATTTTTTAATTAAGAAATCTTGAACATACCTGGTACACAAATCTTTCATTATTAATCAGGGTTATGAGGTTTTAAAATAGCATGCAAATAGAGTCATACTCATAGACCAACATGTACATATACATAAAGTAAACACATTATAGGCTCATACTGTATATCTGATAAATCCAATGTTCATACATTGTAGGAGCTGTGGGCAGTAGAAATTGGTGCTAGAATAGTACATGTATGTACATCTTAAAATAGCATCCCACATTGTTGTGTTGCTAGACTCAGACGCCATCTATACAAATAGCACCGTCTCTTTCATTCCTCTTCTCTCTCTCTCTCTCCTTCTTCTCGCGCTCTTTATTGCTGTCCTCTTCTTACTCTCACCCCCCCCTCTCTCTCTCTCTCTCTCTCTCTCTCTCTATCTATCTTATCTATCTATCTGTACAAACGCAAAGATGTAGGCATAGATTCCATTACAACTAATTTGTGTACATGTACATTACGATTCCTAGTCGCTTGATAGAATTCCAAAGCACATGAAGTTTATTGCTAGCATTTTCAGGCAATGTGCTTGGCGTGGTAAAAGGCACAGACATTCCTGATCTCAATGGAAAAATTAATTCTGAGCTTAACTGAAACACCAATTTCACTGACTTTCATTTTCTTCATAATACAATGCTGTTATATTGACTGCAAGACCAAACAAAATCCAATTAAGGTTCTGCCCGCCATTATGAGGGACAACATAGCGCCTCGTTGAAAGCTAATATAACAGCAGTGCTGTCTCTCTCTGTCTCCCGTTGGCAAGATGTCGGTAATAATGACGGGACATATTTGCGACCTTCCGTGATTGTTTTGATTAATAGATAATAAATTGGGTTGGCATCTCTGCAAGGGCTGCGTCGGCAGAGGGACATGTCCCTCGCCATGTTTTAATTGGATCGTACATGAGAATAATTAAAGGGGCCTTGCCCTACACACGTTGGAGAGTGGTTAAGTTGCTCTCTTTCTCTCTCTCTCTCTCTCTATTTATCTCTATCTCTATCTCTATCTCTCTCTCTCTCTCTCTCTCTCTATCTTTCAGGGGGGAAAATGATAGCTGGATTTTTTTTCTTTTTACACATATGAAAGGGGAAAAAAAGATAATAGAAAAAAAAATTCTCAATCTCTCTATCTCTCTCACTTTCTCTCTCTCTCTCTCTCTCTCTCTCTCTCTATCTTTCAGGGGGGAAAATGATAGCTGGATTTGTTTTTCTTTTTACACATATGAAAGGGGAAAAAAAGATAATAGAAAAAAAAATTCTCAATCTCTCTATCTCTCTCACTTTCTCTCTCTCTCTCTCTCTCTCTCTCTCTCTCTCTCTCTCTATCTTTCTTTCAGGGAAAGAGGATGCAGAATTTTTATTTTTTGTACACATATGAAAGGAAAAAAACAAAAAAGATAATAGAATTGTTAAATACATTTAGACTTTGTTATTTTCATTAAAAAAACCGAGCACTTATATAGCCTTTCAAATGAAAATGTTTTATTTATAAATGCAAGCCATGGAATTTGCAAAAATGAGGTACATGCACTTTAACAATTTTCCTTTCTAATTATATTGAAAGCCCAATTATGTGGTGGGGGGGGGTGGACTTTACAGTGAATGCTATCGCTGTTGAAATGTCTGAACACTAAATCACTACTGATTAAGCTATATGTAGGCTTTCATTGCAGGTACCGTTGAAGCCAATATTGTCATGTACAGATATTTTGGTAGTTGACAGGGATTCAATAATTTTGTTGGTCGGTTTTTGGTGTTGCAATAATAGACACAGGATACTTACAATTAATGTTTGCAGGTGCGTTGCCAGCTCATTTTCACAGTGTCTAAATTTGTGGCCAGCAAGTCTCAAAAATAAGAATCCCTATGACATGATCAACACCATACTTAAAGCTGGAGACTTCCACAAGACTGGGGAGTGCTTCAGATTTTTTAATTGTTTTCACCCAGTTAAAGATGAAGTTAAGTTATGGTCACGCGATAGCATTGTGAAAGAAACAGTGTGGAAGCGATCAGAAAAGGTTGATCATCTAGCATGTAAGTAGTGGTGTGTACTGCAAGGTTCTGGAGTCATCAAAATGATCATAAATTTGGCCCAGTCTTGGTATTAAAAGGAAGGTGTATAACTGTATATGGTACTACAGAAACATGTGGCATAAAAATCAGGCCTTATTTTTTAGCTGTTACTTGTCATATTTAGAATATGAAGGCATTTGAAGAGCCATGCTGTTCAACACTTGCATAATAACAATGATAATGCTCACAAATTATTTGCACCTCTCCCCAGAACTCAACCTTCTCTTTAAAGTGTACCCAAGAATTGACTTTAATTTCTTGCTCTTCCTTCATTCCTTCTCCCAGATTGTCCTAGTGGACACCTAACCGTGGAAGAATTCAAGAAGATATATGGCAACTTTTTCCCTTACGGCGATGCGTCAAAGTTTGCAGAGCATGTATTCCGCACATTTGACTCCAACAGCGACGGCACAATCGACTTCCGTGAATTCATCTGCGCCCTGAGCGTCACGTCGCGAGGGAAGCTGGAGGAGAAACTGAAATGGGCCTTCAGTATGTACGACTTGGACGGCAACGGATATATATCAAGACAAGAAATGCTAGAAATTGTACAGGTATGATGAGGGTGGTTTTGGTCGTGGTAGGGATAGTAGTAGTAGTGGTAGTAGTAGAGGTAGTGTTAGTAGCAGAGGCAGGTGTAGAGTAGTGGTAGCAATATAGGTAGTGGTAGTGGTGAAGATGACATTTACATGTATGTAGTTGCACTTGTAGTGGTAGAGTTGGTAAAGATAGAAGTATTGAATCGATAATGGCATTATAGTTGTGTGGCAGTTGTAGTGGTACTAGTAGCGATAGTGGTAGGAAAAATGCAAGTTAAAGTGGTAGGGATAGTGGTAAAGGAAGTTGTCAAGGTAGTGGAAGTGGTAATCGAATAGGTAGTAGTTTAGGTTAGTGTAGTGGTTGTACATGTAGATGTAGTTGTATAGATAGGTGTAGTGGGTAGTGGTAGTTGAAGAGATGGTGGTATGGGAAGTGGTACTTGTAGATGTGTTTTAGAGTTGTAGTGGTAGTGGTAGTGGTAGTGGTAGTGGTAGTTTTGTTGAACTAGAAAAGAAGCAAGAAGACGCCCTCATCGTGTAGTCTCAAACGGCGCCGAATGAATCTCAAGACATGATATGTGTATACCGGTAAGACTCGTCAAAGACCATATTTTGCATTCCAAAAGTGCCAATATTAGGGAAACGGTAAGTCCAAAGAGTTGCATATATTGGGGTAAAGCTAATTAAGCTATGGTAGCAGTTCAATTTGAAGTAGAGATGGATTAATATAATATGATTTTCCTCTTTCTTTCCTTTTTTTTGTCTCCCACATTTTCTCCATTTTTACTTACTCTCCTATCAATACCCCTCTTTCATGACCGACCCTCCCCCTCCGCCCCCCCTCCCTCTATCCCGCCACCCCTTTCCACAATCCCAACCCACGACATGCAGGCGATCTACAAGATGGTCGGCACAGTGATGAAGATGCCCGAGGACGAGTCGACGCCCGAGAAGAGGACAGACAAGATCTTCCGACAGATGGACGAGAACCTGGACGGCAAACTTTCCCTGGCTGAATTCATCAAGGGGGCGAAACAGGACCCCTCGATAGTCAGGCTTCTCCAATGCGACCCTAGCGGGAGCGCTGTGACGAAGTGAGACCGTCTCCCGCCCCCCTTCTGTAAATAAGCAAAAGTATGGTAGCTGAGAAGAGAGGATATTATTAAAAAATGAGAGAAAAACAAAGGAGTTGGGTACGAATTCTGAGAGAAAGGAGAACAACAACAATTAAATGGAATGGTCGTAGCACCAAGAGGGTTGCCTTTTTGACTAACTCTGTAACATGGTGTGTTAGCCATTTGGATGTTAACGTGGTGGGGAACAGGGTGTTTGCGGTTGTCAGAATGATGTATTGTGGGGGAAAAGAATGAGAATGGAAAGCCCGTTTCTTTCATAAAATTCCTTCTCATCCGTTTGTGAGCCTTCATTGTAATATTCCGTATACAGAACAGCTGGGAATGTTTGCTCGACCGTGTACAAGGGCAAGCACGATCGGAGAATCTTACCAAATGTTGCTTTTCCATTTCCAAATCGGTGTGCTCTTGCATGAAAAGCAGCAAAAATTAAGGAAAACATTTTACCACAATATGAAAGGATGGCAATGAAATGCCTCAAAAACCAGTTATACCCTTTTTATATTAAATCGTATGATATATACGCTGTGTTGTCGTATTATAAAGCCCCCTGATTTTAACTACATTGTAATTAATGCAAGATGAAGGATAGAAGATTTGCTTCAGAAATCTTTATTCTGTGGTCACATATATTTATTAAAATTGGTATAAAGATATCTTTGAATTTTAAAGTAAAATAAATATTAAATCATGTCTGTTGAAAGAATCTAATATTTCAATGCAAGATAAAATATTTTGTCTCTTGCATTGTAACCTGGCGTTGCCAATTTAGGAATTAAAGTGCTATGCAGAGATCGTTGTGCTTTTTTCCTCAAATTCACATTGTAGTAGTAATATGAAGATTGAACATTTCTTAATTGTATCTACTACTTGACCAGTGTAACATCAAGAGCGAACATGTTTTTATGTTTGTCTTTTATTTTTACGGGGAAATACAGACATTATGGCCATGTAATTATGCGGGTAGAAAATTCAGCGCAGCTGTACATAGAGCTCGTACAAACGCAAATAAGTAGGCATAGATTCCATTACAACTAATTTTTTTACATGTACATTACGATTCCTAGACGCTTGATAGAATTCCAAAGTACATCAAGTTAGTATTTCTAGGCAATGTTCTTGGCGTGGTAATTTTTTTCTCTTTTCTTATCGTTGTCATTTTCATCACCATCATACTTCTCACTTCATCGTCATCATCATCACATCATCATCATCATCAACATCATCGTCATCATCATCATCATCATCATCATCATCATCAACAACAATATCTCATTTTCACCTCAGACTCTTTGGAGAAAAAAAAGGGATAGCCGAGCCCGCCTTACATCCTTTTTGCCTCCAGAAGTAAGCTGCAACAAACTTGCAGCCTTCGTGAACCGACAAACTACCCTCTGTTGTTTTTAGAAGGCAGTTATTGTTTGGTAGTACGTGTATAAAGAATGTTCTTATTCTTTCATTAACTTCATGTTGCATTACAAAATTTGTAGTCTTGAAAAAATGACAACATTTCACGTGACACATCACCATAATCATTTCATTCAGTTTAGGCATTTAGAATTTGACCAAATACCTTATTTTTAAGAACTACACCATTGGCATGTTTTTCATGTCCTGTTTACTACTTTTGTTTTTGTATGAAGGAAGCACAATTTCAACTTTAATTTCTTTTTAAAGAAGGGGCATGCATTTAGGATAGATTAACTTAAAAAAAATAATGAAAATAATGACCGATTTCAAATTTTCTCATTCAATTCACAAATCATTCCATGTTTTAACAATTGAAAGAGAAACTTAGCCGGAAATATGCTGTGGCGAAATATTGTGCAGTACACCTCGCCTTCTTCCACAATTAGATCCCAGCAACAACTATTAGATATGGAAATGGCCTTTTGTAAGTCAGTGAGGTACATTTTTAGATGACATCGGCTTTCAGTCATACAAATTCAAAATTGATGACCGGGTTGGAGAGGCAACAAAAAATTTACTCCATGAGAATCCCAACAAATTTACGACTAAGGAGACATTTTACTCTTGGAAGTTATGAGATATGATCTGCCATTTACACATTCCAAACATTCTTTTCTCATGCGATCAATGTTAGTGTTCTTTTCAATATTAGGCATGTACATGTATGATGCAACACAATGTAATAAAAACTTGAACTTCCAAAAGCATGCAGTTATATTAAATCACCTCCATGTTGAGAATATTCTCATTCCTTCTATAGAGTTTGACTCGAGTGTCTGAGAGTGATCGAACAGTAAAACTCGTCCTTCCTAAATCACTTCTGCCCCTACATCAGTCCAGTTAAGTTTAATTTCAAATTCTTTAAACCAATGAATGAATCGATAAATACCTGTAAGTGTTTGATTGTTTTTAAGATAAATTTCACAGGTATTTCTACATTTTATTGTGTCTTAAATGCTGGGCATTTTTGCCACAAATTAAGGTCCTTTCTCCAAGCTAAAAAATATGGATGCAAATGAGAAGCAAGAGATGAAAATATCAAAACGGGATCGATGTTAGGGTTTAGAAATTGTGTATGTTGTGGAGATTTTTTTTGGTGAAGATTTCTTACTGTAGTATCTCCAGTCAAGCCATTCCTGTTGATTTTTATGTCGTTTTATGAAGCAAATCAAGTATGTACAACGCTGACAACTTTTTACAAATCTGTAGATTTTATGAAAGACAGGCTTAATGCATGGGTGGGAAAAGTCTGCGTTGTTTGTTCTGAAACTGTGTCATGTTTTGAAATTCTATTTTATATTATTCTTTGTGTGAAATCTAGAGAAATGTGCAATTTTGTCGGTGTTTCTTCCCCAATATGTGGGGGAGAGATGCGAGAATATTCTGCTTTTTTGTCTGAGGGTTGTTTAACTAGTTTCTACTTCAAGAGATTATGCTGCATTTTCTCCTCGGAGCACTACTGTTTCTCAACAGTTTTTAGCTCGGAATTGAAAGAGTGATGCTTGTGTTTTTTTAAAAATTTCATCTGTTGGAGGCGGAAGGGCTTTAAATCTGTTTTGAAATAGTATTGGAGTTAATGCCCTTCTAGCTCATAACAGATGTTTTATTCCCCAAGTTGGGGGTAGGTATGAACACACCCTTATGTTACAATCTACCCACACTGTGCATTTTACCATACCAGGTTTTAATTTATTTTAAAGGGGCATTCACATTTCACCAATTGTGATATTGATAACTAGGACTACATGTATTGAATTGTAAAATATTTAGTAAATGTATTGGATCTGAGCAAATTTGTGCTGAAGTCTCATGAGCATATTAAAGTACGTCAGTAGAATCAATATCCAATACCCTTTTAACGTAGACCGCTTTGACGGTTATTGGTTACTTTTATCTTTGATAATGTAGCCAGCTCTTTAGTGCGCATTTCACTTTGCTGGCTTTGAAGGGATTTTATTTTTTCTCCTCTCTATGTTCAACACAGTTCTCTGTAAGCTTTGTTATGTACATAATAAGCAGCGTTAGTCTGATAATGCTGATTTTTTTTCTTCTTCAGAGTTTGAAGACCTCTCGTTATGTTTATTGAGAAGCATAAGATTAGAGAAGAAAAAGTGTACCTTTTAGCTACAGCTCTCCAAAATCACACATGTGTATATGCATTATGACCCAACTAGGTGAGAATCTAACTGTCAGTCTAGCATCATAGATTGGAATAAGCCAAAACTACCGTCGTATCGATAAAAATGAGGTCTGTGTCGTTGCTCTGTCAAAAGGTATAAAAGCTAAGTCCCTAACTGGAGTGAAAGGAATGAAAATGCAGCTTCCTCAGAATGCAATTTTGTGTCTTCTGTTTTCAAAGAATATATTCTTTTCTAAGAAAAAGAACATGCTGTAAAAACTAGAGCTGAATTCTTGCTTTTGTCTCAAGGATAGAATTGAACACATTTTGCCATTTTCCCTTGTGATGTATCATGTATGTAATTCTATTAAATCCCATAAATATTGGAGAAAATTATCTTCACACTAGTGCAAATATGAAGAGATCATGAGAAAATATGTAAATACTTTATGTGTATATTTTTTTTCATAGGTACCATGTTCATTACGATACAAAATGAGGTAGAAATATACAAAAGCAATTTACGCGATCACTTTGTGAATACAAGGCGAGACAGATAAGTTTTTTTAGCTGAAAGAATAAGATAGTATGCATCAGAGAATCTTGGATTAGTCTAGCGAGAAGATTGAAATGAGGGGGATAGGGTTTGTGGGTATGATTTTTTTTATAAGTGTTGTTTTGTTTGTGGTGGAAACTTTTGAAACGGATTTCCGTCTGTTCTTTCTAAGTAAATGTTTGTTCATTTTGGGGGCTAAATTCCTCAAGCTCAATATCGTTCAGTTTTTATAAGTGCCAAGTTTTCCTGTGATTTCCTGTATTTCTTTGTCTGTTTGGAGCCAGAGGGCGTTATTTAACTGTGTTAAAATGATGTGATTTAAATCCTTCTGGCCCCAAACAGACTTCCGTGTAGAGAGGGAAAGGGAAGAGAGTGCTTTTGTAGGAATTGGTTTTTTTTTCATTGAGTGAAAAAAGGGATTATCGCTTTCAAATCATGTAGTCTGTGACATACAATTATGTTTAAAAAATTGAGGAAAATTAAGGAATGTGAGTGAAACAAATTATGATTCAGGCAGGCTTGACATCTTATTGCAATCATGAGTATTGTTTTACAAATTTTCTCCAGATGCTCGTGAATTTAGAATACTTGTAAGTAATGAAAACAACTACTTATTTATTCCAACAAACAATTTCATGTAATCCATAAATTGGTGTAGGGGTATAATGTAGCTTTGATATATAGCAAAAGGGGAGAAATTATTGGAACGTAATCTTACAGATCATAGTAATTTAATGTTATACTCATTTTGTGTACAAAATTAACATAATACAAGATCATTTTATAGCAGTTACTTACAATGGTTTCATATTTTCAAAAACTCTGCCCAGGGCCCCAAGTTTAATGGTTTAGAAAAAGAAAAGTGCATTTGATCTTAGCATATCACCTAGATAGGACATAGTTCCTACAGCAGTGAGCACTATCATATGTAACCGGGTTTTTAAACTGGT